GGGCCCTTCTTCCTTTTCCTTCTCCTCCTCCCCCTCCTTCTCCATATCGTCCTCCTTTCTGATGTTCCTGCTTCTCCACCTTGTCTGTTTCCTTGTCTTGTCCTGCTGCTCCTTCTCCTCCTCCTCTGGCCTGGTCTGTGAAAGTCTGGACAGCCAGAGGGCCCGAACGACTCACCTCCTGGTGTGAGTCGTTCGGGCCCCTCTTCCTTTTCCTTCTCTGCCTCCTCCTTCTCCTCATCATCCTCCGGTCTTCTGCTGTTGCTCCCCCGCCTTGTCGGTTTCCTTGTCTCGTCTTCCTGCTACTTCTCCTACTCCTCCGCCTCCTCCTCGCCCATCCTCCTCCCCCACCCCGCCCCAGCTCTCCCCCTCGTCCTCCCCCTCCTCCTCCCGCTCTTCTTCCCCTCCCTCCTTCTTCCGTCATCCTCCTCTTCCGTATCGTCGTCCTTACTTATGTTCCTGCTTTGCCTGTCTCCTTGTCTCGTCTTCCTGCTCCTTCTTCGCCTCCTCCACTCCGTTCTCTGAAATTCTCGACAGCCAGAGGGGCCCGAACGACTCACCTCCTGGTGTGAGTCGTTCGGGCCCCTCTTCCTTTTCCTTCTCCTCCTCCTTCTCCTTATCGCCCTTCTTGCTCATGTGCCTGCTTCTCCACCTTGTCTGTTTCCTTGTATCACCCTTGTGCTCCCTCTCCTCTTCCTCCGCCCCGTTCTTTGCAAATCTCGACAGCCAGAGGGGCCCGAACGACTCACCTCCTGGTGTGAGTCATTCGGGCCCCCCTTTCTTTTCCTTCTCCATTTCCTCCTCCTCCGTGTCGTCCTCCTTTCTAATGTTTGATTCTCCACCTTGTCTGTTTCCGTGTCTTGTCCTCCTGCTCCTTCTCCTCCTCCTCCGCCCCGTTTTTTTTGTTTTTTTTTTTTTTTTGTTTGTTTTCTGTGTTGTTTGGTCCTCGTTTTGAAGAGACGGTGGCCCGCGTCTCCTCTCCTCCTCTTCTCCTCCTCCTCTCCTCCTCCTCCCCCTCCTCCTCCGCACACAGATTTCGGCACACCCCTCACACGTTTCGTGGCCCCATAGGGAGCTCCGCCGAAGGTCCCAGTGGGTGTGCCCGCATGCGTCCCGCACACCCATTTCGACACACCACTCACACGTTTCGTGGCCCCATAGGGAGCTCCACCGAAGGTCCCAGTGGGTGTGCCCGCATGCGTCCCGCACACCCATTTCGGCACACCCCTCACACGTTTCGTGCCCCATAGGGAGCTCCACCGAAGGTGTCCCGCACACGTTTTCGTGGCCCCATAGGGAGCCCCACCGAAGGCCCCAGTGCTGCCGCCCGCATGCGTCCCGCACACCCAATTCGGCACACCCCTCACACGTTTCGTGGCCCCATAGGGAGCCCCACCGAAGGCCCAGTGCTGCCGCCCGCATGCGTCCGCACACCCAATTCGGCACACCCCTCACACGTTTCGTGGCCCCATAGGGAGCCCCACCGAGGCCCCAGTGCTGCCGCCCGCATGCGTCCCGCACACCCGGCACACGTGCCCCTGTTTCGTGGCCAGGGGTGGGCTCCGCCGAAGGTCCCAGTGGGTGTGCCCGCATGCGTCCCGCACGCCCATGTCGGCCACTCCTCACACGTTTCGTGACCCCATAGGGAGCCTCACCGAAGGTCCCAGTGGGTGTGCCCGCATGCGTCCCGCACACCCATGTCGGCACACCCCTCACACTTTTCGTGGCCCCATAGGGAGCTCCACCGAAGGTCCCAGTGGGTGTGCCCGCATGCGTCCCACACACCCATTTCGGCACACGCCTCACACGTTTCGTGGCCCCATAGGGAGCTCCACCGAAGGTCCCAGTGGGTGTGCCCGCATGCGTCCCGCACACCCATTTCGGCACACCCCTCACACGTTGCGTGGCCCCATACGGAGCTCCACCGAAGGTCCGAGTGGGTGTGCCCGCATTCGTCCCGCACACCCATTTCGGCACACCCTTCACGCGTTTCGTGGCCTCATAGGGAGCTCCACCGAAGGTCCCCGTGGCGCAGTCCGCACGCGTCTCCCCCACCCAGTACACCTCCATCGGAGGCCGTCGGAGTTCCGCGCCTCCCTCGCCCGTCGTCGCTCTGCCCAGCGGCAAGAGCCTTGCCCGCTATCAGCCAGCCAGCTAGCTCTCTTTGCTGCGCGCAGCGGACGACCCGCGCGCGTCGCTGGGACCCTTTCGGGGCGACCTGCGCGCGTCGCTGGGACTCCGCGCTGCGCTGCGCCCGCAGCTTTGGACTTTTGAGTGCGCGGGCAAAGAGGGAGTAAAAGAAGGGGAGGAAGCGGGCGCGATCCTCGCGGTGGCGTCGCGGCGCGCGGGCGATGCCGTCGGGGAGTCCCGGGGAAGCTCCATGCGGCGGCCACGCCCAGCGTCACGAGTATTCAGAGGCAGTCGTTCACAAACTATTAGCATTCATATACAATTGCACCATGCATTGGCATACTCGCATTCATGCACGTAGACTCGCTCGCACGCAGATTCATTCGCAGTCAGACGCACTCGCGCTCATATTCACCCGCGCTCAGTCTCCCTACGTACTCAGATCAATCGTTTTCGTTCGCGTTGTGTACCACGCCATTGATTTCAGCACACCACTAGCACGGTTCGTTGCCCCATAGGGATCACCACCGAAAAAGGGAATCACAATTGCGGTACTCACACCTGCATATGGTTGGGTCCTTCGTCTGGCTATGTTTTTTTGTTTTGTTTTTGGGTTTTGTTATATATATATATATATGTGTATATATATATATATATCGACACCCAGAGGAGCCCGAACGCCTCACCTCCTGGTGTGAGTCATTCGGGCCCCTTTTCCTGTTCCCTCTCCTCCTCCTTTCCCTGCTCCTCCTTTGTGCTCCTCGTCGTTTTATTTCTCTTTTTCGTCCTCCTTCTGTTCCTTATTCTCCTCCTGTCTTCTTGTTCTGCGGCACCAACACCGCCGCAGCAGCTACAGCAAAAGTGCCGCATGATATACGGCAGCAGCACCACTGCGGCAAACGCGACAACAACGACCCCGCAACCGTTTCGCCTGAGACACCCTCAAGACCCAAATCTCGGATGGGGGTCGCTCTCAGGTTACGCTCTCGGGCAATGTCGCTGGGGCAACATTCGGCCACTCGTGGTAGCAGCGGGGGCGGTTGTCGACAGAGCGGCCTTCCAGTTGGGAAAGGGAGGGAAATGGGGGCGGACGGGGGGTCTAGGCAATGAACGGTAGACGTCAGGAGCACTTCTTTCTCAGCGACCCTTGATTCTTCGAGGTCCTGTCGAGAGCCGTTTCGCCCGAGTTCTGTTTTGTCTCGCGGCGCGGAACGTCTGCCCGTGAGGCCATGGATGAGCGTAGTTGTCGTCATAATTCGTTTCGTCGGTTGGGCTGAGTAGTTTGGGGATACAAGGGAGGGGGTATTGGAAGGGAGCTGCGACGCAGATGCCGACGCGGGTCGCCAATCGACCCGCATGTATGTGTTTGAAGTGCTGGCCGGGCGCCCGCGACCCCGTCAGTGCGCCATTTGTTGCGCATTTCTGGGCCATTCGCAGGCGCGGGCGGCAGTGAAAAGGAGTTTGCAGCAGTGCGTGGGCCTGGCCACGCCATATTCGTCGTCGTCGTCGCCGCATTCGATATCATTGTCATCGCCGTCGCGCCCCTGAATGCAGCAACTGGGGTTTCTCTTGACCTTTCGCTCGGTTTCGGAAGCGTGCGAACGGGGGGTACACAGGTGGGGGCCTTTGACGTTATCTTCGTCCCCGCGTCGTTTTCGTCGCGGGTATACATTCGTCGGCGACGTCGCGAGGGTGCTTTCGTCGTTGCCGTCCCGAGCACACGCCCTTCTACCTCCGCCCGTATACTTCATCCCTTTGCGTCTTTGCCTCTTTCGCGGCTACGACGACCGTGGCGACGTCCGCCCCGGCGTACAGACTCATTGGATTTTTCGTCGGCCCATGATTTGTGGACGAGTGGCCATCATTTTTCGTTTCGCGGTGCCTCGGGCTTACCTCGGCGCCGGCCTCTTTCCAAACACATTGACGATGTAGCCGTTTCGTGGCTCTCTCGAGCGCGCCCCCCGTTGGATTCTCCGAGGCCCTGGTCAATGTCGCACATCGGCATCTCTCTGGGGGTGTGTGACACCGAGCTGGCGAAATGCATGCTGGAGCTCCGCAATGAGCGTGCGAAGCTCATCCAGCTGATCGTAGAAGAAGATGCCGAGGCGACCGTGCTGTCCGAACGTTTCCGTAACATCGTGGACGCTGCGCGCACTTCCACCGACCCGTCGATGAACGATCCCCGCGCATATGAAAGCGGCCTGGCACTTTGAGTTGGGACCTCTTGCGCAGCAGCGAAGGCGAGGAAGGGGGGAAGGCGGCGGAGGAGGGCGAGGGGAGGCGGAGGAGGAAAAGGAGGAGGGGCAGGGACGGGGACACGCGGAGCAGGACGAGGAGGAGGAATGAAGAGCAGGGTAGAGCGTGGAAACAGGGAGAAGGGGGGGGGCAATTCGGAGGAGGAGGGGGCGTGAGAAGACTTGGAGGAGGGCGAGAAGAAGGGGCATGATGAGCAGGAGGATGGGGAAGAGGAGGGCGCGAGAGAGAGGGGGAAGGGAAACGGATGGGGGGCCGTGTAGAAGGGCGGGAAGTCGAAACATGTAGGAGCAGGAGGAAGATGATGGCGCGTTTGCGCGGGATCTCCTCTTGGCAACCGCGCGGGGGAAGGAGGGGGGGCTTGCGGCTAGCCAGAGTCGTCTAGGGACGGTCTTGGGGCCTTCCTGGAGGCCGCGTTGTTCTTTCTTACCTTATCGTGGGGGCACCTCGAGTGCACGACGGAAACAGAAACCTCGCGGCCCCGCCCGTTCCAGGTTCTGGGTTGGGTAGGGGGTCGGGTGAAAAGCGCCGCCTCCGAAGGAGAAGGGGGTGGGGGGGGATTGGCATAGGAAACTCCGTAAACCAGCAACTCCCAGAGGGCTGGTGGGATCAAAGGGCGCATGTCAGGGAAGACCCAGAAGTGCAAGATGCACGACGACCTCATTGCAAAGTCCGAGTCAGCTTACAAGGATATCGTGCGCGAGGCCAAGTCAGCACTTCGTGGCGCCATGGAGCCGGCGCGCAAGCGCCAGGGAGCCGTTGTGAGCCAGTTGCTCTGGCAGTCGGGCCCCGTCGGCCAGGATTGCGAGAACGACGACGACGACGACTGTTCGTGTCCGAGCAAGCATGTTCCGTGGTTGCTCCCTGGTTGTGGGCCTCCCAAGCACGCCCCCCCCCCCCCCCGCATGGAATCATTGGGGCGCCCTAGACCCAGAGGCTGCCCCCGAAACTCGACGCGCAAGTCTGAACTCCCGGTGCCAATATTGGGGTTTCCTGAGCAGTCCCCGGACGAAGCGACGACGACGATTGCGACGACGATGACGAAGACGAGGCGGTCATGGCAACTGTGTGGACGACAGCGACGGTATCGATGCCGACGGTGACGGCGTCGACGGTCAGGGCGGCGAACGTCGATGGACAGACGCCACCCATGACGACGATGCGGGCTGGGGTTGCACGGCGTCGGCGACGACGACCGACGTTGAGATTCCCAGGAGATGGTCGAAAGAGAGGCTGCGGAAGCTGGCGTGCCCGTGGCAGCGCTGTTCCAGGGCCCGCCATCGGAGTGGTTGTGTAGGCGTGCGTAATTTTGTGTGCAAAGTCTGCGCCTGTACAGACATTTCCAGACAGCGCCGCCGGTGTAAATATGTGTTGAGTCCCGTGCCTGTAAGTATCTGTTTGAGTTTTCAATCCACGGGTTGGGAACACCCAGCCCGTTCGGCGACTCTTGTGCTCTTGGGGTGCGGCGCAGCAGTGCATGTGGCGACCCGTGCTGGCTGGCGCTTCGCGCATTCATGTCGTGCGCCTTCGTGAACCCGACCCAATGCCGTGACAGGTGGCGCGCGGGCTTCCTAGCAGCCCGGTAGCCGAGTCTTGTGCGCGCAACAGGCGCGGGAATGCTCACAGGGTCTGCATTTCGACCGGGTTCGTGGACACTTCGGGTGCTCTTGTTTAAGACTCCACTCTGCAAGTGTGGATCACTTCATCCACAAAGCTTCAGAGCAGAAGAGAAAGAGGAGAGATCGGGAACTATGCGGACGAACGGTAAGTGCGGGGGCATTTCTCAGCTGGGTGGCCCCAGGCTCCCGAAGGGGGCATTTTCTCAGGTCGGTGGCCCCGGGCTCCCGGAGGGAACGTTGCGGCATGTTGCGGGATGAGCTGGCGAGAGGTCCGTGCGAGGCACGGTAACCTCTCAGTCGAGGACACGTTGCCCCCAGTGCCAGATTTGACCCGAACGTTTCCCGAATGCTCGAGTTAGGTCCCTCGCCGTCGCGGCTTGACGCGGCTCGGAGAACTGCTGCGTTTGAATGGTGGGATGGGATCAGGGTCCCGCGCTCAGGTTTGTAGTCCATTCGCGATGCCGTTTGCATTCGTGGAGGCAGCGAAGGCCCCGAACGGTCCGGTGACCGCGCCGCCTAGTGTGTGAACTATGAGTTTGGGCGAGGGAGCTGTTGCGGGGTTTGGGCCGCTCTCCTCGGAGGGAAAATGCAGCGGTAATGTTGCCCGGGGAGGTCTGCGCGGACTCTTTGGGTCGGCGATGGGCCCCCCTCCCCGCGCCTGCCGGGGGGGGGGGGAAGGGGGGGGGGAAGTGGCGGAGGAAGGGGGAGGGGGGGGTGGGGTGGGGGGGGGGGGGGAGGAAGGAGGGGAGAGAGAGGGGGGCGGAGGAGGAAAATGAGAGGAGAACGAGGGGGGGGGGAGACGGAGAAGGAGGAGGGGGAAATAGAGGAGGAAAAGAGAAGGAGGAGGAGGAGGAAGAGGGGGGGAAGGGGGTGGCAGGAGGGGCACGAGGAGGATGGGGGAGGGGGGGCAGGAGGAGGAGGCGGGGGTGGAGGACGAGGCGGAATGAGGGGGAGAGGAGGCCGCGTGGGCCTCCGAGAGTTTATGCCCGCCTCTCTCGATTTCCTTCTTTGTCTCTGAGGTGGCGCATCGGACGCCCGGGCCTCCTGGGGCCCCGGGGCCGCCCGGCAGCGGGCCATCCAGGGAAGTCTCCGGGATCTCGCGGTCGCAGGCCTCCTCCTCATCCCCTTTCTCCTCCTCCTCCTCCTCCTCCTGCATCTCCCCCTCTCTTCGTCCTTCGCCTACTCCTCCCCCGCCTGCTCGTCCTCGTCCCTCTCCTTCTCCTCGACCCCCCCCCCTCTTCCTTTGGCTGCCTTCCTCGCCTCTGCCCGGGCTGTTTCGGGCCCCCGCCCGGGGGGCGCCGGGCGCCGGCGACGCGCGCATGGGCGCGTTGCACCAGCAGCAGAGCTCTGCGAGCAGCGCCGGCTGACGCGCGCGCCGGCCGACCTCCCTTGCCAGGGGTGCCGGAAAGGGGGCGCGTTGTCATTGTAGTCGGAGGTTTTCAACGTCGACGTTCTCGTTTCGGGTGTCTCTGGCCATTTCTGGAGGTCGTCGTCGCCGCGGCTGGGCGCGGCTCGAAAAGCCGCCCAGGATGCGCCCTGGCTTGGCTCCGCGGAACGATTCTTGTTGCGGAGATTGGATTCCCTTCGGGAGTTTAGCTGGAGCGCGCGCGGGGACAAGTCCTGGGGGGCGATGTTCGACGCCCGGACCGAGAGAAAGGGGAAGATTGTCACGGTGGTAGGAGGCATTCGAAATCGACGTCTTCGTTTCGGAGGCTTTCGGACGTTCCAGGAGTTGTTCGTCGCCGCGCCTGGGCGCGGCTCGAGGAGCTGGCCAGGGTGGATCCCGGGAGAAGGCCGGGGGCCGATCTTGAACGGATTCTGGTTTTGAAGCCCCTTGGATTAGCGACGGGCCCCGCCTCCGCGCGGAATCGGCGCGCTTTGTCGCCGGACGGGGCGACGCCGAGACGTCCCCGATCTGTCGACAATGCTTCGTGGGGTCGAGGAACGTCATGCCCCCATGGGCCAGGCGGCAAGCCCCCCCCCCCCTTCGGCTCCCCTCGCTTCGGGGTCCGTGCGCTCGCGCGGCGTCTCATCTGCGCCTGCCTTGGCGTTGTATACAGTTCTAAAGGATGTTTGGTGTCGACCGCTTTGCGCGATGCCACCGGGTTCGCTAGCAGACTTGTGCTGACCATTGCGAGGCGCGGCGCGCGTGTGGACGCGCTATGCTATCGTCCCTTCCTCCTTTTTCCTGCTATTGATGTGTTGCACGCTAGCCAGTATCGGCTGTTCTCAGTAGCCGGGTGTGGCGATGTGTCGAAGGGGGTATAGGGGTTAGTATTTTGGCATAGTTTGGTCTGCAGGAATGTTCGGGCGGAGTCCGAAGACAGTGGATGAATCTGGTTGTTCGGTTGTGCTATGTCTTCAGCTTTTCCTATTCCTAGACTAGTTTTTTTGTTGTTTTTTTTTTTTTTGTTTTGTTTTTCTTCTTCTGGGGTCATTGGCAGCAGCGGCGGCGTGGCATTATATGTAAATATGTATATATAGTTCGGCTTGGCTCTTGTTTACAGGGTGCAGATCGCCCCACCTGTCTTCGTAGCCATCATTTCAGAACAGGAAAACACATAAGCACAAAGGGTTTTATTGGTTTTACGCCGGAAGGGGGCGTCGTTGAGAGGGTGCCGGGCACGGATGCGGGGGTCGGTGTGGCGTCGGTCTTTGGAGCTGGCGGTTTGCGTGGTAAGTGCGTTTAGCTGGTCGCATGTGTTCGGAGCGCGTGGCGGGCGGAAAGACCGCTCGCCAGCAACTGGCAGTCCTCTGCCCGCGGGCCAGAATGAATTGTTGCGCGCTCGCAACGGGGTGTGGGGAAGGGGGTTGGGAAGAGAGCGCGAGTTTCATTTCCAAAAAGTCCATTCGATAGGCAGCAACCAGTCCTTTTCTATTCATCTGCCGCGCGGCCAACCGAACGCGCGAACAACTGTCTCGGCGCGCAGTGTTAATTTCGCTTGCGCGCATCCTGGCTTCCTTCCGTTGCTTCCTTCGCTTCTTTCTCGCCCTCCTATTCTTTCTCCTTTTCCCTTGCTTTGCCTTGCCCCGCCCTCCCTTCCTTTCCAGCTCGGAGCTGTCGCCGCGCGCGAAGAGCGCAACCCAAAGGGCGTTGCTGCAATTCCTTTGTGTGCCGCGAAGTCTCGCGTAATTCCTTCGTGTGCGGTCTGGTTGAACTGCCGGCGCGGGGGGCGCGCAAAGGAATTTCCTTTGTGTGCGACCGATTTCGCCGCCCCCGCAAGTGCGCGCGCGATTCCTTTGTGTGGGCCTTGCTTTCCCGCCCCGAGGAACGCGCGGGGCCTGGCGCTGCAATCGCAAGGCCGCGGCGCCTGGGATTGCGATGTAATTGCGGATGCCGCGCCCAAAACGATCCTGCGTGGATGTCGGCTCTTTTGCCGAAATTGCGCTGGCAGCTGGCCAGCCGCGTCGCCGGCCCTGCGTGCCCGCGCGCGCTACTGCGTTTTGTTGCCGCGACGCGTGCTGCTGTCAACGGATGAACCAGCTGACGCTGCACGGTGGTTTGGCTGTGCCAAACCACCGTGGAATGTTAGTTGGTAGCGGATTTTGGGATCTTGTCGCCGCCGACAGCCTTGCCACACCATGCATGTCAACTGCATCCTAGAGCGCGGCCGTGCATCAACCCTGATTCGGATCGCTGGGGATCCAGTCGCATGTGTGCACATGCGATGCACCGTTGGTGGTGCCAAAACCCTCTGTGTGAAATTCCTTCGCGTGTTTTTCCCGGCTCCTATCATTGAGAGCAACAAACTTCGCCGCGCGACGTATCCAGTGGCTTGCGGCCCATCCCGCCACCGTGCCTGGGTAGTGGTTCAGAAGCTTCATAAATGTAGGTTGGGATCTCGTGGTTGCTCTCTCGAGGGCCTGTAGAAGGAGAGGGGGGGCAGAGGAGGAGGGGGGGGAGGTGGGTGAACGCGGCGGGGGGAGGAGGGGAAGAGGGGGGTGCGGGGGGGTGAAAGGGGGGGGGGGGGAGGGGGGGGGGGGGGGAGGGGGGGGGGGGGGGGAGGTCTCGGAAACAGGTTTGAGGTATGTTGGGGGTGTTTTGGGGCCTCCGGGGGCTTCTTTCGGGCCTCTTTTCGAGCGGCTTCTTGGGGCTGGTGGTTCGAATTCTGAGTTCCTCGTTCCCCTCTTGGCTCTCTCTTGGGGCTGTCTTGGGGCTCTCTTGGGTTGTCTTGGACGGGGGGATCATGTAATAAGAGGACAGGGAAGAGGAAGAGGAGGGGGGGGGGGGGGGGGGGCATGAGCGACCAGAGCGAGCGGATTCAGCGGGCACGAGGAACGCGGTGTAGGGATTCCGCCGTTTCTTCGCCAGGCTCAAGCCTTGAGCTGCGAGCGGATGCCCCCCCCCCTGCCTGGGCCCCCCTTGCTGGGCCGCCCGGCCGCGGGCGGGGCGGGCAATGCAGGCATTGCCGGTTGAGCTTAAATCAACCGAGGAGTTTGCCGGTTGTCTCAGGCCCGCGGCTTCGATGGCAGATTCTAAGGAGTCTGCCATAGGAGTCGCCAGCCCGGCTTCGGCCGCGCTGGGGCACAACCGAGGGCTTGCCGGTTTTCCACAAAAACCGAGGGTCTGCAGGAACCGCGCCCTGCAATGCGCCGGACCTTCCGAGGCCGGTGCGTGGAAGTTGGCGCTTTGGCAATCGATTGTTGGCTGCGACGGTCGGCGGCAGCGTGGTGGTGG